ACCCTGAAAGGCGTTCAGGGTGGAGATCAGGAATGAGGCCCTCTGTGCTCTGGGAAAAGCTTGCAGAACAAGCCTTCAGATAGTTATTTTCAGGAGATGATTTTAAGAGCCCCAATTCTTGCATCTCCTCATATCTAGAAAAGCACTAAAATCATTAATGAAGCCACATGCTCCTTGTGACTAGCAGGAACCTTCAGGAGACGAGCAGCACACATTCACATTTCTACAAAAATGTGTACTTGGTTGCATGTACCCCCCTCCCCAAAATCACATATATACTGACCTTCCCCCCAGCTCTTCAGAGCAGATCCTCAGAGCTACCTGAAATGCTGTCTTCCAGGTTATAATCCTCCTTTTGCCCCAAGTAAAACTTAACTCACAATTCTCACATTGTGCATATATTTCAGCCCACATAACTAACTTATTTTTCATGCTGCTAAAATAAATTCTTATATGGCCAGCTTAACCTCCTCACTTCTTTGAGAGATTTGAAAAATAATCAGGTTCATAAAATAAATGAGTTTCCTCTCTGTAAACAGCATTTCCACATTCCTCACCACTCCATGGGGTATGTGAAAGTCCACTTTAAACTAAGTAACGATAGTGTGCCAATTCTTTCACTAATCTACTGTCTACAGCCCTCTGCCAAGTCCCCAGAAATCCTTCAAGCCATGCCTGTACCCAACATTGTACCTCTCCAGTGGAATTCTCCAATGTCCGAACATTCTGCTGGTCACCAGGAAAACTCTTCTGTTTTCTGCCCAGTGCACGGTTTCCAGGAGCATGAGTGCTCACCCACTTGGGGCTGTTACCAGTTCAGCTTTCAGCAGGATCAGTATCTCTCCTTTAAGGCTCAGAATGCTAAAGCGTCATGTCGGTCCACACCATTCTAGAGCAAGGACAGGAGAGAGGTGAGAGTGTTGTCAGCAAGAAGAATAGAACTCTCTTTGGTATTGTACTATTTTAAAGGGTCCCCCAGAGCATTTCAGAGCTGTGTAAAACTTATCTTTCATTTTTATTTGCAGTCCCTTCTTTCTCTGGGACCCAGATGTAAGTCCAAGAGAGCTAGCAGGAACTGTGATAGCAATTGGCATTTTTCTCAATATTCTTGTCTGAGGACTTCAATTTTGTTACACGGTTTAGATATTCATTCCTGGTTACTTCTTCCCCTAAGACAAGTTCCTTCATTAGGTGCCCCTTAATCCCCTAAAAATACACTTCCCTGGGGCCATCCTGCCAGTTTGTCAGTTCTATCTTAAGTCCAATGTCTATTCATAAATCCACAAATACTAATTGAATCCCTATCCTTGACTAGACACTTCAAGTAAGTTTTTAATTACAAAAATATACCTATTAACTTTCATTTTGCTGAAAAAGTATTGTCCTGTGTAACTGTTAGGAACAGAATCCCAAAAGGATTTAATTACTTTTTAGCAAAACACTAGACATAATAAAGACAGAAATGCAATTTTGTGCCTGTGTGGCGGTACATGTTGTGGATATTTTCTGAGTGTTAGTTGATGCCAGAACTTCTCTTAGCCTCCCCAGTCTGCCAACCCGCCCTTCACCAAGGAATGGGGAACCACACAGTACGTTTATACTCTCCAAACAGATTCTCTCAACAACCTTATCGAACCTCCAATACATTCCATGCCATCTCCTTTACTGCAGGGGGTGAGTGATGAAGTCTGACTTGCATAACTGGTTTCAGACTTTCTTTCAACATCTTTCACAGGTAACCTGAAATACCTCTTCAGTACAGGAGGGTGCTTCACACCTGCTGAAATGACTTGGAGAATCTGTTGAAAATCTGAGACAAAAGGGAAAATGATGTCTTACATTCTATTAGAGTCACTATTTCCATTCTTTTCTTTATTAGGATAACTCAGTTCATGGAGTTGTCTACAAGGACTAAGCTAGGGTGCGGTGCAGTTGGGTCTTTTTGGAGCACGTGCGCTGAGAATCCATGGGGGACAGAATGACGATTGACTACTTGTCTCACTAACTTCTTTCTTACACTTCTCTCTATTGTAACACTTTCATGGAATGATATTAAGATGCCATTTTCTCCTCGATTAAATTAAATTCCCACTTCATCGTACCCTGCTCTTCTTTTTTTGGTCAATAGTGAGAAACAGTATAGATGTTGGTACACAGGGGAAAGGAAAAAAAGAAAAAGAAAGAAGAGGAAAGTGGGAGACCCATGACATTCAACTATTATGACCGGAAAGTAAGCTTGTGAACTAATCAGTGGTTTAGTGTTTGTTATTTATCAGCCTTCTTTCTACTTTATCTTCTTTTGAATTCTTTTCACATCAACTCCCCTTTTCCAATTCATCACCTTACCATGGAAGGATTATTGTAGATGAAAGCCTTCAAAAGTCCCTCATGCAGTTACAGCATGAGTCTTCTGCCTCAGGAGCTTTTAAATTCTTACCTAAAATCTTTAATATATTATCAACTCCACACCTTTCACATTAGTAACTAGCCAAAAAAATTAAAACTATACACCAGAGAAAACAGCATTTCACAGAAACCAGCAGGTGTGCAATAGATCAAAAATCTATTTTCTTCTTTAAATGAAGTGATTGCTCTGTGCAGACCTCTATTAAACTCGGCATAAAGAGGAAATCTATGAAAATCATTCTCTTCACTAAAATATTTTCAAAAGTAGATCAGAATAAAACTCATATCCCAGTGCTCCTCATTTAGAGCGCACATCGAGCTAGAGCCCTAGACATCTTTAAAAGTATTGCTCATAGCATGAAACCTTCTGTAAAGAAAAAAGATAAATCCCTGAAGCTTTAATACAGGTATTTCAGTTGGAAAATTTCCAAAAAAACGAGTAGTTATTCTAGGATTATTACAGAGTTAAAAATAGGGTTAAATGCAGAAGCGTTTGTTAGATTTTTTTTTTCCTTCCCAAGAGGCATCATTCTCACAGCAATCTAGTTAAAGGTACGCTAGTGGATTAAAAAAAAAAAAATAGAAGCAATGTACATCCAGAAAAACCTGGTAGTAAATATCATAAAAATAGCAATTCACTTTTAGATAAGCACTTTATACTTTAGAAAGCATTTGCACATTTTAAATTTTGTGTTCTCAGAGTAAGTTTTCAGAGTTCATATTATCCCCCATATTTTACAGACAAAAAGAATACAGTTCAAAGAAGGTAAGGTGTGCCTGATATTACATAACTACTTAATGACAGAGCTGGGACTCCAATCCAGATTTCTAACTGTTTGGTACCAATTCAAGGGCTCTCTTTGCTACACTATTGCTGCCTTAGGTAGAATTCTCATTACTTGATTAGGAAAGAGGCTAAACCTCTAACAAAGATGTATACAAATATATGTCTTTGTAGAAGCCTCTGAAACCTTTGAAATGGTCAAAAAGATTTATGTATGTATGTTTTTTCAACAGAAAGCATAGCATTTTCTAGCAAACCCTTCTAAGTTTCTAATTCTATAGCTGTCTGAGCCCTTTCTTGGACTGGATCTTACAATTCTGTAAATTGTAAAAAAAAAAAAAAAAACTGATAGTAATGAAAATACTTCTTGCCCATAGAAACACAATTTGGCCCATGGAGATTAAATTAATTTCCACCCTGTGGATATTGATCAGTTTTGAATCTATTAGCAAATTCATTTTCATGTTTTCAATGGCCTACCTATATGTCTATACTCTGGAATCTCCTCTCAACCAGTTTTAACTTCTACTGGTTCTCTCAGTAACTAATGAGTGAAATTAAAATATCTGATATGTGTTCATTTTTTATTTGTATGAGAGTCATAATTTCACTTTTTGAAAAATATTCTTATCAAATGAAACTAAATAGGAATTCTACAAGAAATGACCACCTAATAGGGACAGGCATATACGTAAAGAAAAGTCAAATAATACAGATTTGTAAACAGAATGATTTACAGAGATAAGTGAACCATACAAGTGGGGCTGAGGAATAATGGCTTAGGTCTATCTTGAAAGTGAAGAAAAGAAAGTGAAAAACCACAGAAGTTAAAGGAACATACCACAGCGAAGCATGTTTGAGAACATTAATTGAACCACACAGTAAATAGTCTGTTTTGGGATAATGCACCATCACCCTTTAGCATCGCTGTAAACCAAAACAAATAACTTTCACGATAAAATATTCTACCTAGGCTGCAATATGGTAGGCAAAGGAAGTTGGAAAATCACATTAAGATTTTGTGAATTCAGTCTTTTTGGCCAAACTGGATCTATATCCAGCCCCTAGAAGATTCTTTCCTCAATTATTTCAGCTGAATTTTATATTTGTAAAGAGTACATATTCATTAAGAACAAGTCCTTTTTCTAATTCATCTCAGTAGCCACCTCAATACCAAGTATAGATTACTGCCCATAAAATCCATTTCATAGATATTTGATGAATTTAATGACTACTTGAGTCCATGCTTGTACCTTCTCCTGAAGAATTCTCCCCTTTAGAAATTCCATTTATCCTGCAAAGACCCCCAAAGTTTTCTCCTACCTGAAGCCTCTGTCTGAATCAGACAACCACTTTTTCCTGTTTCACGTATAGCATCTCACATTTCTCTATAGCATTGGTTTCATTCTGTCTTGTAGTGAGTAGCTATCGGTAGTTTATATTATCATATTCTCCCCTCCTAGAACCTTATCTCCTTGAGGTCATGACCCTGATTTATGTATCTATATTACTCTCAAATGCTTGCCATGGTGCTGGTACAAATATCTGTTGGATGAGTTTATTGAAAAAAAAAAATAGTTCACTTGGCACTGAAAATGCTTGACAGACCAAAAATATATTTTGAACATAAGAACAAAGAATTTTTTTCTAAACAGTTTATTTTCATGAGACAATAATCGTTAATTATTCCAGAACCAGTTTTGAAATTTACTTTTTTTAGTACAAAAAAATTATCTGAGCCACTGATTGGCAGTCTGTACTAAAGTTATGAAAGTATGGCAAATTTATGGGAGCTGTAAATAAATATACATCTATTCCACAACATATACAAATTAGTGAATAAGAAAATTATATCACAGAAGGAAGGACAGCAGGAAACTTTAGATAAAGACACTGCCTTGTAGCAGCATTGTGATTTACCGAGCTCCGGCTTTACCAATAATATCCCCTACAGTATGCATGTGAGTATAATATATTTCAGACTTAACAAATATGACCATGGTGGAATATTTTAAATATTCCAGGAAACTGATCAATTTTTGTGTCATCTGAAGGTCTGTAAATTATCATTTTGATGATGAATAAAAATTTATCTGTATATAATCTATTCTCAGACATTGGCAAATGACACAGTATAACAACTGTGTTAGTGGTTCTTACAACCAAGTAAATAATTTGGGCAAAAATATTCTAGTATGTGCCAAACAAAGGAATCGTCCAGGGAATGCATGATGCAAGGTAGCAACTGGAAGACTATTGGTCTGAGGGAAGCCCATAGCCACTCTGGAAATAACCACAGGGGTCTGGGGGTGAGGGAGGAGTGAAAATGGAGTGAAAATGATTTCATGTTAGGTTGATTCATGGACTAGAATGACAAGGGGGAATGCTAGATTCATTGAAATAGAGCCATTCATTTGGCAATTTTTGAAAATCACTTATATATTATTATTATTATTAGTTGAATTGTGTTCTCCCCAAAGTTATGATGAAGTCCTAACCCCTGATACCTGTGAATGTGAACTTATATGGAAACGGAAACAGTATAGCTGTAATTAGTCAAGTTAAAATGAGTACTGGAGTAGGGTGGGCCCTAAAATTTACACACCGGCATGGAAGACATCCCTGTAACATTTGAGGCATGAGATTGGAGTGATGCATCCATGAGCCAACCATAAACCAGTAGGGGCAAGGGAGCCTCGTACTCCATAATCTTTGGAGGGATCATGGTTCTGCCAACACCTTGGTTTCGGACTTCTGGCCTCCAGAAATGATGAGAGAATAAACTTCTGTTGTTTTAAGCCATGTAGTTTGTGGCACTTGTACAGCAATACAAGGAAACTAATACAAACACCTTCCTAGGTACTAAAGTAACAAAGACTACTTTAAATAGTTTAATCCACTTACCTTGTTGATCATAATGATTGGATTTTATGCGCCATAATGCTATTAATAAAGGGGAAAAACATATCAAACTTTTGTAGTGTGGTTGTCATAAGGTGTATATAAAATCTAACAACGATGGTAGCAATAATGATCATGTACCAAATGCACGATTTTTAATTTCCTCCACAACTCTTGGTGGTAGGCAGTATTATCCTCATTTTACAGGAGAAGAAAATGAGACACAAATAGGTTAGGAATTATCACAAGAAGAAAAGCCACAATTCAAATCCAGGTCTATCTAATTCCATACACTGCTGTTTGCACACTGCCTTTACTCTTTCTAATAAATCTACCTCAAACCAAACAATTTGACTGATTTTTCTTAATTAAATAAACTATATGTTTAGACATTTAAAGTTGCATCCTATAACAAATCAACGGGAAGCAACTTGTCCAAAAGTCAAAAATATATATCTGAATTCTTCTAGTTCTGTCAATCAGTGTAACACAACTAGCAGAAAACATAGTTGTTCTTCTACCCACTACTTCTCCATATGTCTACTGCAGGTCCTATGTTTCTTAGAAAATGAATGATTCTGACTTCCGTCTTCAGGGAAACGGCATTATATATTGATTAAAATGAGGATGGGCTTTGATGTGTTATAGACCCTGTGAATGTGGCTATTTCCTTGCACCCTCAGAGCCCCAGATTCCTCATAATAAAATGAGGGTCATAA